AGAAACCAATAGAGCTTTTTAAAATATGTTTAATACAGGTATATTTCATGGAAGCAAATGAATGTTTAAAATACTGGTTCTTGGGGCACCTGGATGGCTCAGTCGGTTAAGCATCTGTCTTCAGCTCAAGTCATGATCCCAGACATGGGATCCCAGACGTGGGATTGAGCCCCACGTTTGGCACTCTGCTCAGCGGGGAGCCTGCTTTTCCCTCTCCCTCTGCCTGCCACTCCCCCTGCTTGTGCTTGTGCTCTCTGTCAAATAAATAAATAAAATCTTAAAAAAAAAAGTAAAATATTATTTCTTTATTACAATAAGAATAGTTTAAATCTTTCTGAAAAGAAGATCTCCCATGGTCAGTAATGCAAACATGCTTATGACTAGGTTAAACTGGTATTTCCCTTCTCATTTTATTATTCTTTTTTAAGATAGTAGAAATCCCTCAGTATATAAAGGAGAGGAACTGATACATACATGTTAGGTTAATGCATCAGAGAAAGAGGAAGTTGCATACAAATTCATACAAAAGGTGGTTAAGCAAGTTAGAGACACAGAGCATATATCATCAAATTCATATATATTCATATATCATCAAATTCTGAGGGGACCAGTTGAGAAGGTTTCATTATTGTAAAGTGTTGTAATAATTACTACAGTCTCTTATGTGAGTATGAGAGAAAAATTAGTATTTGCATTTATCTTTCTATTTTTAAGTCACTTCCTAAATCATTAAAAATAGCCTTTCTACCTACATGTTAATGGCCAAACCCCTAATGTCCAGCTGCCATATTGTTCTTTAATCGAGACCTGTGTGTATGACTATGGACAAGTTATTTAACCTCCCTGCATTTCAGTTTTTTCATTTATAAAATTTAGTAGTGCCTATGTCACTGGCTTTTGAGGATTAAATAGGTTAACAGAAGGAAAGCACTTTGAACAATGCCTGATATACAGAAAGCATTCAATAAGTATCATCACTATTCTTTTCACAAGTATTATTTTTGAACTATTTGTTATCCTCATAGAATGTTCTCTAATCTATTATGTCCCAAAGAGTATAATTTTATGCCTGTTCAAAAATTCTTGCTGTAACTTTTTTTTAGAATGAATGTACTAGAATTATTCCTTTTCCCAAGTGATCCATTTATTCAAGCTAGAAATCTTGGTACCATAATACTGTGTTACTTCTCCCTCACTACCTGAGTATCGTCACAGTCCTCTCTCTCCAATAGTGACTTCTCTCACTAGATGATTATTCTGGGGACAAGGACTATACTCTTTTTCAGAATTTCATGAAGCATCTACATTCTTGAAATCTATGTATCTCTGGTAGTTAGGAAAAAGTTTCTTTCCTACATTAGGTCCTTAATAAATGCATTTTCTGTGTGTGTGTGTGTGTGTGTGTGTGTGTGTGAGAGAGAGTGTGTGTGTGTACATACATTACACATATACATTATTACTCTCTGTTTCCCTTATAGCTCTGGCCTTACCATAACATTTTTAAAGTATATAAAGATGATAATTCTATTTAGGAAGCCAATTCTACAAGTAGACTTTCAAAAAAATCTATAGATTTCATCTGATTAATTTTCAATGCTGATGAGATTGTAGGAAATTCTTAACTCTCATAAAATCCTGGTAGTAGGATAAATTGGTACAACTCTTTTATATAGACACACTTCAAGGGCCGTAAAAAATTTCATTGTCTTTGCCTGAGTAACTATAAATTCACAGTGGAAACAAAAAGAAAATTGATTTGCACAAAATGTTCATTATTCTTTCCTTTATAATGGAGAGAAAATGGAGAACAATCTGAATGATGGATTTCAGTTTTGAACTCTCAATGGACTATAAAAGAGCTATTAAAGTTATCATTATAATGACTATAGCAACAGAAATACAAGCTGTTTTCTAAAAACTATACTTAATGCTGCAATTACAATTATGTAAAAAGTGTATTTACATAAACACTAAAGATGTAAATGAAGTTTTTATTTTTCAATGATTTCTGATAGTGAAATAAAAGCAGTTTTACACAGAAATCAGTTGCTTTTTAGTTACACTAACAATGAAACTGTAGAAAAGGAAATTAGAGAATTGATTCTATTTACAATAGCACTAAAAACCATAAGATACCTTGGAATAAACCTAACCAAAGAGGTAAAGGATCTATACTCTAGGAACTACTGGTCATTCATGAATGAAACTGAGGAAGACACAAAAAGATGGGAAAACATTCCATGCTCATGGATTGCAAGAATAAACATTGTTAAAATGTGTATGCTGCCCAGAACAATCTATACTTTAACACCATCCTGATCAAAATACCATTGGCATTTTTTAGAGTGCTGGAACAAACAATCCTAAAATTTGTATAGAACCAGAAAAGACCCTGAATCACCAAGGAAATGCTGAAAGAGAAAAACAAGGCTGGGGGTTTCACACTGCCTCATTTCAAGCTTTATTACAAAGCTGTGGTCACCAAGACAGCATGGTACTGGCACAAAAACAGATACATAGACCAATGGAACAGAATAGAGACAGCAGATATGGGCCCTCAAATCTATGGTTAAACAATCTTTGGCAAAGCAGGAAAAAACATCCAGTGGAAAAAAGACAGTTTCTTCAATAAATGGTGCTGGGAAAATTGGACAGCTATGTACAGAAGAATGAAACTGGACCATTCTCTTACACCATACACAAAAATAAACTCAACATGGATGAAAGACCTCAATGTGAAACAGGAATCCATCAAAATCCTATAGGAGAACATAGGCAGTAACCTCTTTGACATCGGCCACAGCAACTTCTTTCAAGACATGTCTCAAATGGCAAAGGGAACAGAAGCAAAAATGAACTTCTGGGACTTCACCAAGATCAAAAGCTTCTGCACAGCAAAGGAAAACTGTCAACAAACCAAAGAGGCAACCCACGGAATGGGAAAAGTTATTTGCAAATGACACTACAGACAAAGGGCTGATATCCAAGATCTATAAAGAAATTCTCAAACTCAACACCCAAAAAACAGATAATCAAGTAAAGAATGGACAGAAGACATGAATAGGCACTTCTCTAATGAAGATATACAAATGGCTATCAGATACATGAAAAAAATGTTCATCATCATTAACCATCAGGGAAATTAAAATCAAAACCACATTGAGATACCACCTTACACCAGTTAGAGTGGCAAAAATTAATAAGGCAGGAAACAACAAATGTTGGAGAGGATGTGGAGAAAGGGGAACCCTCTTATACTGTTGGTGGAATGCAAGTTGGTGCAGCCACTTTGGAGAACAGTGTGGTGATTTCTCAAAAAATTAAAAATAGAGTTACCCTATGACCTGACAATTGCACTACTGGGTTATTTACCCTGAAGATACAGATGGAGTGAAAAGAAAGACCATATGTACCCCAATGTTCATAGCAGCAATGTCCACAATAGCTCAACTGTGGAAAAAGTCAACAGATGAAAGTCCTTCAACAGATGAATGGGTAAAGAAGATGTGGTCCATATATACAATGGAATATTACTCAGCCATCAGAAATGATGAATACCCAACTTTTGCATCAGCATGGATGGGACTGGAAAAGATTATGCTGAGTGAAATAAGTCAAGCAGGGAAAGTCAATTATCATATGGTTTTACTTACTTGTGGAACATAAGGAACATAGAGGACATTAATGGAGGACATTAGGAGAAGGAAAGAAAAAGTGAAGGGGGAGGGTATTAGAGGGGGAAGATGAACCACAAGGGACTGTGGACTCAGAAATAAACTGAAGGTTTTAGAGGGGAGAGGGGTGAGAGGATGGGTGAGCCTGGTGGTGGGTATTAAGGAGGGCACACACTGCATGGAGAACTGGGTGTTATATGTAAACAATGAATCTTGGAACACAACATCAAAAACTAATGATGTATATTGTATGGTGACTAACATAACACAATTAAAAAAAATTAAAAACAAAAAAGAAAAATAAAAAGAAAATCAATGCTAAAATAAAAAAGCCTATGCCTTATCAATGTTCTTTAACTTTTTTTTTTTTTTTTTTTGGTCAGAGAGAGTGAGCACAGGCAGACAGAGTGGCAGGCAGAGGCAGAGGGAGAAACAGGCTTCCTGCTGAGCAAGGAGCCCGATATGGGACTCAATCCCAGGATGCTGGGACCATGACCTGAGCGGAAGGCAGCCACTTAACTAACTGAGCCACCCAGGCGTCCCTGCCTTATCAATGTTTTAAACTCCAACAATCATCTCGAAGCACTGAGCTAGCATCACTTCACTGATATATCACATCTACAAAGTTTGAACATGCAGAAGATCCAACACTTAAAATAATTATGCAAAGCAGAATCAAAAGTAGTATTACTTGCATATAACACCCAGTTCTCATCGTACCACGTGCCCTCCAACTAATGAATCATTGAACACTACACCAAAAACTAACGATGTACTATATGTTGGCTAATTGAATTTAAATTTAAAAAAATGTTGGGGTGCTTAGGTGGCTCAGTCATTAAGTGTCTGCCTTTGGCTCAGGTCATGATCCCAGGGTTCTGGGATCAAGCCCCACACTGGGGTCCCTGCTTAGCAGGAAGCCTGCTTCTTCCTCTCCCACTCCCCCTGCTTGTGTTCCCACTCTCACTGTCTATCAAATAATAAATAAAATCTTAAAAAAAAATTTAAAGAAAGTAATATTACAAAAAAAGCAATTATTTTTTAAAAGACTTTATTTATTTATTTGACACAGATATATATAGAGAGAGATCACAAGTAGGCAGAGAGGCAGGCGGGGTGAGGGGGGATGCAGGCTCCCCACTGAGCGGAGAGCCCTATATGGGGCTTGATCCCAGACCCATAGATCATGACCTGAGCCAAAGGCAGAGGCTTAACCCTCCGAGCAACCCAAGTATCCCCCTCAAAAAGCAATTTTAATCAATATATTACACAAGATACTCAACTATAAATTACGATTTCAATAACATATTTCAAAATGTCAAATACCTTTGGGTAAATTTCAAATATGGTGTGTAATCTATTACGGCAGGAAAGTTTCCATCCAATCCTTCTCCCTTGAGGCAGAAGCTAAGACAAGAGACAATAAATATGTCATAATACATTAACTTTTAAATTAATGTTAAGTATTATAAATAATCTCTTGTTAAATACATGTGTTTCATCAAATTGCAAGTAAATTTTTTAATTTATATTTAATTCATAAGTTACCTGTTACAAATAAACATCTTAATAAAGATACTCTACGTTCACTACCAATGACAAAGGATTGCACAAGTTAATAGACTTTAATATAAATATATCATGCCAAAGAAAAAACTTTCTGAGAAATTTGTTCAAACACTATTTATCGGACACTACCTTGGTTTTCACTGGATTTTAAGACATCGTTAGAGGATTTTCAAATGAAGACTTGTTCACATTTTATACAAACTCTAATGTGACACCAACTAACTCTTCAAAAGGTCTAATTGGAAAAATGAAAGTTTTCTAAACTATCTGAATAGGTGAAAGGGCTTGGATGTTAGACCTAAAAAGAATGCTAAAAACAACAACAACAAAAAAACTCCTTTAATCTTTTTTTAATTATTCTTTATTTTCCTGTATTTTTATTTTTTTCCCTTTAAAAAAAATTAACATAATGTATTATTTGTTTCAGGGTTACAGGTATGTGATTCATCAGTCTTACACAATTCACATACCCCCAACCCCTGTAATATTAATCACTGAGCTACCCATCCCTCCAACCCCCTCGACCGCTCCAGCAACCCTGTTTCCTGAGATTAAGAGGCTCTTATGGTTTGTCTCCCGCTTTGGTTTCATATTGCTTCATTTTTCCCTCCCTTCCCCTATGATCCTCTGTCTTGTTTCTCAAATTCCTCAAATCAGTGAGATCATATGGTAATTGTTTTTCTCTGACTTATCTCGCTTAGCATAATACCCTCTAGTTCCATCCACATTGTTGCAAATGGCAAGATTTGGGTTATTTTTGATGGCTGCACAGTATTCCATGTGTGAGAGTGTGTGTGTGTGTGTGTGTGTGTGTGTGTATACCACTTCGTCTTTATCCATTCATCTGTTGATGGACATCTGGGCTCTTTCCATAGTTTGGCTATTGTGGACATTGCTGCTATAAACATTCGGGTGCATGTGTTCCTTTGGATCACCGCCTATGTATCTTTAGGGTAAATACCTAGTAGTGCAATTGCTGGGTCATAGGGTAGCTCTATTTTCATCTTTTTGAGGAACCTCCATGTAAAACCCCTTTAATCTTTAGTCAATCCTTTTTGAGGACATGGCAACAGGAAAGGTTGAGATTTGCCCAAAGTCATACTGGGAGTCTCAAAGCCAGTAAAGAAACTCTAGATCTCTTGGTCTCCCAAACTAGTCATCTTTGTTTTGTATGATGATATATCCAATTGGATAATAATAATTTTTTTAAAAGGCATTTAGTTTTATTACTCTTATGGGAAGAAAAAAGTACATCTTCTGGGAACATTAATAAGAATAATTATAAGATGTAGGTTGATCTTTTAAAAAAACAAATTCATCTATGAACTCCCACCTTCTGGTTTCTTTGCTAAGTTTGCTTGTTGAAATACCATTCTAATATGTTAATATCAAGGGCATGTATAAACTTTTTCATACTTGAATGAGGAGTGAACAGAAGTGGCCTCACTTTATAAGAGCTTTCCTTCATTTACAATACTATTACTAATGTATCTTTAAGAGATTTGCTTTCAGCAGCATGACAGGTGAAAAAGTAACACATTTAGGATAAAAAAAAAGCTCTATATCGCATCTATCATGGTCATATTCTGAACAATTAAGCTAATATCTGAATATGCTTTATTAAATCTTAAATAGGGGAAAATTATACTGACAAAATGAAAGTATTTTGAAAAGGAAGTGATTTACTAAAAAACAGTAATGTCAGTAGAAATGAACAGCATTATTTTCTGATTCAAGATTAAGAGAAGATTTTCATTTAAGTTTTATACTTATTTTGTTGATATTCTTGAATTTTTAAGTGATATTTTCCAAAAGAATTATAATATTTCCATCATTCTTATGTTTGAGTTCTTGTTATAAACAAACCTTTTACTTTTAGCATAATGTAAAATCTTGGATCAGCTAAAGAAATGCAAAAAGATACTCCCATAAATCTATGAAAAACTTACATTTACATTTTTAGTAATTACAATCTTAGTCTGAAATGAATTCATCATGTTGATATAACAAAAGCAAATATGAACAATATTTTTGATAGTCTAGATTCATAATACAAATATAAGATACCCGAGATATGCCAGGATCTTTTTTATTTCAATACATGAGGTAATGAAAATCTTTCATGCTTTGAATCTTTTAGTTCATCCTTTTTTATTTTAAAGCAGTAGCTAAAAAAATACTAAGAGATAAGATCCAAAAATTTCCTCCAGTGCTACCAGGGTATATAATTTTTCTGCTGGGGAAATGCCGTCTAGGATTGTTTTGCCCAAGCTAGTAAGCAAACATGTCAGTTAACTCCTTAACCTAAGAGTCTTCTTAGAGCAAACCCAGTCAGAAAGCTGATGTAGCTGGATAAAGAACATGAACACGAGTTAAATATCAATATCCAGCTGTGTGCTCTACTTAGTAGCAAACCAAGAAAAAAAAAACCTAAGTAGAAACTATTATGACATCCAATAACTTAAAAACTGAATACATTTAGATTAAGTACCTGAAATCAATAGCATTTAGTCCAAGCAGCATGCCAGCAAGCATATTTGCTTCCTCACCTAAGACAATTGCTCCATCTTCATAAAATCGCCTAAAAATGAAATGGGTAAATACATAAATATTAAAAGCACACTGAAGTTTCGTCTATAGAAATTAGAGACCAAGCTAAAGTACAAAGAACTAAATTTAAGTTATCAAAATAAAAACTATCTGGATCACCCAATTCTTGTAGATACTTAGGGGAAAAAATGCCAGCATAACAACAACAAAAAAAATCATTCTAAGCGTTTCCACTTCTCTTAAAATCCCTAAAGTGACTTTCAATGGGCCAAGATTGTCTACTACTTTTCCCTAATAGGGAAGCAATATGAATGTAATTTGAAAGGTGGCAAATTCACAGTCATTTATACTGCTCTCTTTTTGAAACTATGTAGACTATTGTGGTATACACTGAACAAACATAAACACACATTATTTTTTATGTAATTCCAAGGGTTATTAATTAAATGAAGAGCAAGAAAGATGTGATCACTTATAATTCATGCTAACCTTTAGCACTACAATACTAATGGGCTAGCAGGGTGACTGTGAATGAAAAAGAAGTGTTAATTATCTCTTAAAAATATGAATATGAATCTATCAGTGTTAATTCCTATAAAGCTTTCTGTTTCAGTTATTGCTAGTTGTTAAAATACTAAAATTTTTATGTTAATATACTTAAATATTTTGAGAAAATATCATGATAGGAGCCAAAAGGTATTTTTCCACAAAAGAATGTAAGATCACTGTATTTACTTTCCTTAATACTGCGCAAAAGCTAGTTTACGTTCAGTAAGCAGGGATCATTTAATTGTTATATCTATTTATATTAGATATAGACAGTGGATGCCACTCTGTAAGACCCCACTAACTAAAGGAAAACATTTTAGTAAATGAAATTTGTCTTACTCTTTATGGTAAAAAAAGATTTTAATATGCTCATAATCCCACTGCCAATTTTACATAACTCACAGTTTAAAAATACTTTTATAAACACTATCATCATTTGATACTTGCTCAAAAACCCCATTAAGCAAAGGTGGAAACAGCTATCATTCGTTTCAAATTTACCATCAAGAAAAGTTAAGAATTAGGTTAAAACAATTTGCCCAAGCACATGCAGATAAATTACTTAGGGAAGAAACCTAATTCTTCTAACTTTAAGTTCTATATATTTCCATTAAACAATACCATAGCACAATAAAAAAATTCAAAGCAAAAAAAGCCCCATACCACTATAAAAAATATTTAAAGAGAATTTAACCTATGTTATAGTTCATAAGGAATTTTAAATGAATAAAAAGTACAAAGGAAAATAAGGGACCACTATTCTACCTGCTGTCAGATATAAGCTACAAATAAATACTGTGGGAAGTCTAGCTTGGAATAGATGCTTTCTGTTTCCTTGGAAATATGGGAACTGTTTTTAGTGACTTATACAAAAAAGAGAAAAACTAAAAACTTTCAGTCTGACAAAGATTAATAAAATACATGGAAGGAATTTCTATATATTTAACTAAGATATTCCACAAAACACAAAGATATTTAAATAAATCTATATACCTGAGATTCTGTCACTGTCCCAATAGCTAAACTGGCTGTTGAAAAAGCATTTTCACTCCTAGAAGAACTATGATTATAATGGCTCTAGATCCCCAAATTCTACAGGATACGTGGCTTAGAAAAAAGTCCAGTCTTTGATATTGGGAATCACCCATCATTCCAAGTATTTCTCTATATAAGAAAAGGTCTACTTTTTTTTTCTCCATCTTTAGTCCACCATGTTTTAAAAGTACATTCTAAAAATCAGATCAAAACAATTTCTGCTTGCTTCCTAATGTCAAAATTGATTTAGGGACTGTTGAAGACTATCAAATACACACACAAATCTAACCAATTTTAGAGATTTCTTAGTCTAAAGATCTTACATATGTGTATATAATATTGTTTTGATGAATTTTTTTGGTTTTAGTTTTACTAATAATTTTTGAGATTAAACAATATAAGTGAAACACTTGTTACATGTGAAATAATTCCACTCAAATAAAATCATACCTGAAGTGTAATGTTGTACAGACCTCATTTATTGTAAGAGTCTTAATTGAAATAAAGGGTATGGGGGAAAAAATGGAAGAGGAAGTGCTAGCTAAAGAGTTGTCCAGGGGTGCCTGGATGGCCCAGTTGGTTAAGCACCTAATTTCAGCTCAGATCATGATCTCAGGGTTATGAGATGGAGCCCAGCATGGGGCAGCATGCTTCTGGGCATGGAGCCTGCTTGGGATTCTCTCTCTCTCTCTCCCTCTGCCCTACCCTCCCCCCACCTGCATTCGTCCTCATGCTGGCATGCACACTTTCTCTTTCTCCTTAAAAAAAAATCCCACAAATGAATTGTTTCTTGTATGCTGGACATCTCCATTGTTAGAGTGGAGTGTATTTTCAGAAAATACACTTCTAAGTTTGAAATAACTTTTTAAAAGTAACTTAAATCAGTATTCATAAGAATAATGAAGTGATCTGAAGAAGATATTTTTATCATTTAATCAAAGACATCATTCACATGTATTAAAGAATCAGACGCTATTAAGAAAATTAATTTTTATTCTCTTAAATCAACATATCAACAATTTTGAATGAAAGTCTGATTCTTGTCATCAACACTTTCAAAGACTTAAAAAAAAACCTGTAAACTTTAAAACTCTTCATTTTATCTTGTTGAAAACTGGAACATTAATAAAGTTTGCTTATATAACCAGTTATGTGACAAATGAGACAAAGGTCAACCCTAAGATGACTGAATTCAGTAATAATAAGGTATACACTAAAAATTCCCTTTCTCTAGTTGAAAATATTTTTTGTTCTAAAGAAAATAATTATATGAGAAGGATCTAACCAAAACAGTAAACTGAATTGCCAAATGCATTATAAACACTGAAAATGAAAGGTAAAAAAGATATATAAAACTTCTATTTAAAGCTTTATACACTGGATTGTATCTCTAAAGAAGTTTTGCATGTTAGAAGCAAAGAAAAATTATGAGCAACTCTTGATATTACTGTGATCAGGAAGAAAAACTTCCTCTTTTTATTAGGTATACTCCTTCCATTTATTTGTCTGTTAAGTAGAAAAATATTTGAAACCAGGAAAACATTTAAAATAACAACCTAATAATAATAGCTTTTTTTCCTCTTATCATATATAATTCAACTCTAATTGAAATATAGCTCTATATAATGCTATCTTTAGTATTCATTCTGTAAGAGTATTTGAAGGCCTTTCAGGTACTTCAGTAACAAATACCCTTTGGATGGCATCCAAGGTGAAATACCAGTGTAGATCATATCAGTACTATATAATATCATGCTTCAAATTTTCCCTTTTTGAGAGCTGAAATTATTCTACATACTGAAAATGCAGTATTAAAATATGAGAAATGCTATGTTATGAACCAAAAAAATTCCATTATCACATTCTTATTCCCTTGCCCAATTTAGTTTCTACACATGAAATTTTAAGGGAGGAGTTTAGAAAAGTCTCCCTCATGACATGAAAAATAGATTATAGCATTATAAATAAATGTTGTATTTCATTCAAAGTCCAACTGAATCAGAATGAAAAACTGACCGAGGTAAATCTCCAAAGATCTTGCTAAGAATGTGAGATTCATTAATGATTTTATCAACAAATATATAATAAATTCCTACTACAGGGCAAGAACTGTGTGCTAGGTACCAAAGTTAAATGGTGAACACCCTAAGCATGGTCCCTCTCCATGGAGCTTCCTGTCTACGGGAGGGGACAGGCAACAAACAAAAGAAAAACATAATTAGAGTTGATGATAAGTAGTATAAAGCAAATAAGCAAGTGGTTGAGGTAGAGAAAACCTGAAGGAGAACTCAACTCTGAAGAAAATCACTATTAGGAGAGACATTCTTGGGTGTTTAGCTTGAGATCTTAAGCCCACAGAAGTCTGATCACACAGGGCTCTGTAGACCATATAAAAATAATCGTAAATGTGAATGTTTATTGAGAGTCAATCACACTTACAAATACTTTATATAAATTATCCACTTTAACTTTACTAGTACATATTACACCAGAGAGGAATTAAGCAGTTGTCTAAGGTTCTACAGCTATAAAGTGGTAAAGTCAGGATTTGACTCCAGGAAATGTATATGAAGAGAAACAATTTTAATGCTTCGTAAGTGGGAACTGACACAAACTTTTTAACTTTTAATAAAATTGGCTGGAAGATATATGGCTAGTGGAAGAGGGCAAACTGGAAGCTCACTTAGAACAACAATAGGGGAGTATAGACAAGAGATAAATGAGGTACTATTACTCTAGCAATCATGGAGATTAAAGAAATAGACCAAGATAGATTTTTGGAGAGAGGACTGACAAGACATGCTAATTAGGAATGATTACAGAGAATGAGGGATGAAGAGAAATAAAATATGAATTTTAGGCTCTGACTTGATCAAACATGTAGGTAAGTTATGAAACCATTTGCTAAGAAAGAGGTAAAGGCTAGAAGGAAAAAAATCAAGATATCCGAACTATTTACATAGCGATTTAAACGTGGAGTCATGATCATACAGGTGGTATTTAGACTAATTCTAAAAACTCTATGAGGACAGACAGAAAGGAAAATGAATGGAGAATAAAGATCACACAATGCAGGGCTGAGCCAGGAGAATACTGACATTTCAAAGTTGTAAAGAGTAAAAGAAGTCAAAAAGAGAGACAGAGACAGAGTCAAAAGGACAATTATAGAAGAAGAAGGAAATGCCAGGGAACATTACATAAGTTAAAGACAGGTTTTTCAATAAAGAGTTAGTATTTAACTGCTTGTTTTAGCTGGGCAATGGTGTCATGAATGGACAAGAGATATATCCATTTGGCAGCTTGTATATTATTGGCATCCTTTTAAAAATTATCCTTTGTGGAGTGGTGAGGGAAAGACACTGCCCAAGAGTGAATACAAGGGTGACTCTAAGGTAAGGAAATGAGACAGTATGTATAAACATTTTTTGAGAAGTGAGGTGATGAAGC